CCTCTGACCTGCTCTTACCAGGTGCAACCTGGCCGCTCTGCTTTCTTTTTCCAGATGATTCTGCCCCAACCCTCTCTGTCTGCACGGCAGATGACAAGACACTGCAGCAATGGCTGTTGGTGGCCCGTTTATTGCCCCAATACCCAGCCCAACAGGACAGGCTCATTTTCACTTACAAAATCACTTAGAAACCCATTGTCTGGCCTCAACAGCCAGAATGGGTTGTTCCTGCCTGACAGATGTCAAGGGGTGAGAAGCCCAAGTGCGATTATTCTCACAAACCTGTCCTGGAAAAGGTCTGAAGAAGAGCCGAGGAATTCATGTGGATTTCAATTTCCTTCACCATGTCACATTGGGAAAGCCAGAACTGAAATATGCAAGGAACACAGCCAGGACCCCAAGTTTGACCTTCTGGACCCCATATGACTGGCCCGGCGAGCCAGCCTCATGACGAGCACCTCCCACCTGCCAAGCCCATCTGCTGCAAGCTTGCTGGTGGCCAGGAAGCCACAAATTATAACCTACAGGATTCCTAAAAAGTGCCAGCACTTTGCGGGGGGCGGGGCGGGGAGTAATGGGGTGGTGATGGGGGAAAAGGAGTGGGGAGAACCCACCTTGCTTTTCACTGGGAGGGGAGGTGACAAGGGTCTTCTGATAAAAATCAGATTGGCTTGAACGCTGCTTAAAACCCAAGAAGTTCGGAAAGACCTCAGTCAATCATAAACTATTGGATGCATGAAATTAACCAGAACCAGAAACTTGACTCCAGGGGTCCTCCGAAGGTATTTTCCAAAGACAATGGAAAGACAGTAAATAAAACCAATCAATAAGTAATTTCAGCCACGCTGTGCTGATCTGTAAGTAACCCTGCCAGGGCCTGCGCATGCTGGTGAGGAGGAAGAAGCTGACGCCCATCTCGTGAAACGGATCCCTGAGGAAAGTCCCTCCCTAGGGCCACTGATGGGGCTGGAAAATTGAGGCATGCATAGTGGGGTGACCTGTCCCCACCCCCCCAAACCACAGAGGGCCCCCCAAGCCAGAGTCTGCCAGGCCTTTTGCCCTACCTAGGCCCTCTGCTATTTGAAAACGGTCTTCAAAAATGAAAAGCATCTCCTGGGGAAAAGGAGACAGAGGCAGAATGAATTGGGAAGGGGATGGCAAAAGACAGAACTTATTTTACAAAGCAACAGTGCCCAGCATCTCTGCAGACTGCTCAACATTCAATTCAGCCCAAAGGTAATTTACACTTCACCGAAGAGTTGCCAGTGTGGTAGTAATGCTAGATAAAAGCAGTCAGACCTGAAGGAACAACCTATTTTAACACCTGGGGAGAAAATAATAAAACTGGCGTCTGTTTATGGAAATTCACAAAGGTGTAGGAAAATGACCCTTTTCCCCATCCCATCCTAACAAAGGCAGTAAGTTCTCAACACCAAAGAGAGAGGCATAAAAATATAATTATTTCATTAAATAAAAGGGGGGGTGGGTAACAAAATAATGGCAGCAGGTATCCATCCTGCTGGGTCTAGCATTTTATGTTACATACAGTTAACACCTATTTGAGTTGAGTACAATGGGGCTTAATTGTTTTATTCTACGCACCGCACAGCAACCAACTGAATCTAATATTAGTCATTCATCAGATAAAACATTTTCGGAGAAACAAACTGCTATATTTTCCCCTCAAAGAACAGCAAGCATTTAAAACACATTTTCCCAGAGATGTTACGCTGAAGAAAAACAGCTTAGAAATGTTAGTTTAAACAAATCCGTTCTCTGGCTACCAACAACAAGAAGTATTGGAACAAATGCTTGGCTCTGTCCTCTCCAAGACTCCTTCTGTCCACCTGTGGAGGCCGTTTTGACCCCTCCAACCCGACGGGCACTTTCGGGGCGGGGAAGCGGGACGCCTGCCAGGGTGCCCCTGCACCTTACAGCGGCCTCATTAGACTTAACCAACTCGCTGGAAGCAGGGAGGGCGAAGATGGGCGGGCTGCCAGGCATTCTTTCAACACAGATTCCCAAAGAAGATCCTGCAAAGTGTCGAAAGCCCAGAATTTCAGCAGCTCACTTCCTAGACTCTGCTGCATGCCAACTCAGGGGGCACCAACCCAGTCAGTGTTTTGTTAAAATGACAGTCTGCATTAACCCTCTGGGAAAACCCAAGTTTCCTTCAGCAGTTTAGCGACTGTCAGCATCACTGGAACAAAACATCCAGGGGCGGAAGTGATGAGTCTGTTTGATTCACCGACATTTTTTTTTTTTTAAACATAAAATTTTGAAAATGCAGCTGAGAACATCTTGGCAGGGGGAGCAAAAGGTGATTTCTACCCAGAAGCATTTGGGCTAATATTATTAAAAGTACATTAGCTCACATTGAGTATGTACATAATGCCCTTTAGTTAAAAGGTGACTTATACTGTTGCATTTTGAAGGACAATTCCTTTCGCTCCAAACCTTGATTTGAAAAGTGATAACTCAATAGCACCAAATCCTATCAGGGTTGGGGCCCTCCGAACCTCACAACACAGACAACGAACACAGACGATGTCCGAAGGGCACTCAGGAACCCCCAGCAGCTGAGTTTCTGTGCGCCTTTTTGGAGGTGTGTTGAGAAGAAACAGAGAGTCACCAGCCTACCACTCTACCCATCAGCTCAAGCGCTTGTCTTTGAGAAGTCACGTGAGCAGGTGCCACCACCAGACCTCGGCTGCTCGGGGCTGTCCCAGAGGAACGCAGGAGCAGGGAGCAGGCAAACCGAGCCAGAGCAGACACTCCAACACTCTGAGGCTCTGTAATGGCAAAAGCACCGGGTGGATGTCCCCCTGGACTTATGGGGGGCTCCTTTCCTTTCCGATCATCACAGCAGTTTAAGTTCGCATCCCGTAAAGGCGTATGTGCACCCTGACCCCCATTAAGTTGAGTTAAAACCTTGAGCGTTTTATTTTCCAAACAGAAAATCACTAAGTGCTCCCTAGGAAAGGTTTAGAAAAAGGCCAGTGGTCCACAGGGGAAACATCCAGACCATCCCTCTCCTCCCACCTGCAGCCAGTCGCTGACATGGGCAGACACGCTCCCAAGAGCACAGGAGCTGCTGGTGGCGTGTGTCTTTAGAGGTCCCAAGAGACTCGAATGCCACTTGCACGGCCACAGTCTTGGCATTTTTGTAGGAAAAGAGAAAAGGGAGACAGTTCCCTGTTGCCCCACTACGCCGAGGAAACCAGCAACCGAGCAGCTCGTGTGCAAGTTGAGTGTCCTCTGGGCTGCACTGGGCTCCAGTGTGCTCGTCCGCAGCTGGACCCAGACGCAGATAAAAGCCACTTAACTTTCCCTGGGCTCAGGGAAGGGGCCAGCGGTAGGAAATAAACCTGCTTTATTCAGCCTCCCTCCAACTCCCCCCCTCCCCCACACAGCTTGTAACTCCTAGCAAAATGCCAGTTTCAAGCTAGTATTTCTTACGTGTTGGAAGTGTCTCTGCTTCCAAAACGTCCAGCATGGCCATGCTGCCTTCCCTGCCTGCCCAGGTATCAGCGAAGACCAACTTCCACACACCACGACGCAGCAGGGAGACCCGTGCACCCCAAGAAACCCACACACCAGACACCAGGCTCGCGGCACCTTCCCACCATGACGTCATGCTGCCTCGGTACCAAATCACTGCCCCAATTCTTCCACTTGGGACAGACTCCTGAAGTACCAAGGCAGGAGCTGGCGTGGACGCCAGGAGAAAACTGCTGTTCAGGCCCGACATCTACACTGGCACTTTCCTGGGAAGGTAAGCAGGACCAGATACCCGAGGCAGAAAGGCGTGCGCACACTTAGGAGATGCGCTTGCAGAGACAACAAGACCAGAACATTCTTCCGAGTCACTGAACAATTGGTGTCTCATACTTCACCAAGTGACATATTTATACAAGTGGCCCTCCAGGGTTGGATTTTTTTTTCTGCCTGAGTTCTGGGTTTCAGCAGTTTAGTTTACAATTCAAATGGCATTAATACCCAGTGACACTGCTTCTTAAAGGGCAATTAGAAGAAAGAAAGAAAGAAAGAAGGGAGGAGAGAGGAGGGAGGGAAGAAAGCAAACGCGAAAACCCCCAAAGCCGGTTCCCTCTTGGGCTTTTCAACTCACGCAAAGCAAACTACATTTTTTTGGATGCTTCCTGCACCTTGAACCCTTGCAGAAGGTGTCAGAGCTTCATCGCTGTCAATGTCAACCCAGGCCACAATCTTTCTTCCCGTCCTCTAAACTGCCGTCCTCTCCAGCGGAGACTCCCTGCTCCAGCCACCCAGACCTCCTTTCTCCAGAAGCCTCAGCCTTTGAGTGCACCCTCTCCCCCCCTGGAAAGTGCTCTGGCTGCTTATATTTGCAGGAAATTTAAACTCCCTGCCGAGCAGAGATGAGCAGAGAGCATCTACTGTTGCACTGATATATTCCAAAGCCTGCACCGTGGCAAATGAGGAGAAAATAAAGTCCAGATGCAATCAAGACAAGGGCTTTGGCATCCGTGAGAGAAGTGCAAACCAGTTCAAGGCTCTACCCAAACCTGGGCAGCAAGGCCTGGAGTTCTCTGGGAGAAGCTTTCCCAAGCACGGCACCTTCTGGAACTGGGGGTGCCACGGCAGGCATCCACCCCTGCCTGCCAGGGGTGAATGCAAAGGCCGGCCACGAAAAGTTTGCCCGGGGAGCCGGGGGCCATGTGCCACCTAAAGGACACTTTCTCCTGCAGGAAGGGACCCACCGGCAGCGCCTGGCCCACGCTGGCCTGGGCCGGTGTGACCGTGTGAGCCCGTGCTCAGGGCACCGTTTTTCGGTTTTCGCTACTGACAGCAGCTTCCCACCCCCAGCAGGGGGGCGGCGACCACACCGCCGGCGCCCGGGGTCACCAGCCACAATGCCAAGCGATTGCGCCCCGGGCATGAGGGCACCGTGCCCGCGGCCACCGCGGGGCCGGGTCCTGCTCGCTCGCCTCTCCTCCGCCCTGGCGCCGGGAGCTCCCTACCTTGCGCGCCGACCTGCTGGATCTCCATGTTCGCCGCCGCCGCCGCGTCCGCCGCCGCGGCGCTGGCCGCCGCTCCCGGGCCCGGGCCGGGGCCGCCGCCGCCGCTCAGTTCCGCCAGTCTCCGGTTGGTGGCCGTGAGTTCGGCTCGCAGGTTGGTCACCTCCTGGCTGGCCGACTGGACCGCCCCATCGATGCGGAGCGCGAGCTGCTTATTGTCTTCCATCATGCTCAGGATTTTGGCCTGGGGGTGAGAGAGGTGACAAAGAGCTGCATGACGCGCGGGGGGCGCGCGGCCGGGCACCCCTGGCTCTACCTGTTGGGTCCCCCGCGGCCCGGCTCCCCCGCGCCCCGACCCCCAGGCACCGGCAGCGCCGGCTCCTTCGGCGCAGGAATGACAGCGGCGCCTCCAGCCCGAGCCGCGGCGGTAGCGAGGCGGCGGGGGGAGGAGGAGGAGGAGAAAGGGGAGGCGGAGGAGGAGGAGGAGAAGGAGGAGGAGGAGCAGCGAGCGCGGAGACCCCGGCGCCGAGAGCGGCTGGAGAAGGACACCGCGCGCCGCCCGGCACTCTTTCAGCGGAGCCTACCATTCGCCGCGCGCTCGGGAGGGGGCCTGGGCCGGGGGCGGGGGCGCACCCTCGGCCCCCTGCGCCCCCCCACTTCGGGGACACACCCCCCGGGAGGCGGGGGTGGCTGGTGGCCGCCCAGGGTGGGCCGAGCGGGTGCCCCCGCCGCCGGGTGGGGGCCTCCGGGTCCAAGGCCGGCCCTCTGTCCCCTCCCTGGAGCGGTGGGGCAGCCCCCGCCCTGGCGAACTAGCCCCGCGCAGAGAACTGGGGCCCCCGAGGAGGTGGGTGCTTGGGAGAGAGGGGTGCTAGGGAAAGGGGCCCCGGAGGGGAGCGGCAAGGAAGCTCAGGGGAGGGGATGGCTTGCTCTAGCTCCGAGCAGAGGAATTCTTGCTTTGCCTTTTCCTTAAAATGCAGGTAAGGAACGTGCAGCCTGGAGCTGAACGAGCAAGTAGCTCTCACTCTCCAACCCCACTGCACCCCACCTCCGCCCCCCCAGAGTGTGCTGTGCTGTCCCCCAGCCATAAAGGAGTGCTCTGGCCTGCCCCAGGTGGAACACTCACTGTCTGGCCTCCCTGCCTGCCTGTGTGCCGGGTGCCCTAAGTGGGGGGTCTCCTTGGCCTGGTCCTGAGCAACTTAGCTGGACCAAATATTGGGCGAGGGGAGGGATGACTAGGAAAGACTAGAAGGTGTCAGTGGGTCTGCTACCCCTTTCTCCTCCTACCCAGAATAGGAGTGTTGAGGCCCTGCTGCCTCAGTTTACCCACTCCCTGCTCCCAGGAGAATGGAGATAGCCATAAAGTTGACAAACCCATCTAGTTCCTCTTTCTCCCAGACCACAGGCTTTGCAGTTTTCACTGGGGCCCTGGATTCCAGCCACTGGATCTTGTTACCATCAGGAGCTTAGTCCATGCAAATAGGACAATTTAAAACATCCTCTGTACCCCAGGACAACAGAGCACCAACATTCTGCTCCCTTGACCTGGGGAGAGCAGCTCACTGCAGAAGCTGATGAGGTGTTCCACAGAGGAGGTATGCACCCTTCAAATTCAACAGTATCTATCAGATGCCTACTGCATGCAGAGTGCTCGGGATATATGGTCATCTCCAGGGAGTAAGGATTCTTATTCCCATTTTAGAGACAAGGAAACAATGGGCCTGGGTGGGAATTGAGCCATTTACCCACAAGGCCCACAGGAACCAAGTGATACCAGGACTGGAAGTGAGCACTTCTCCAAGTTACTTCCACTGTGCCATGGGTGCTGTTTCCCCCCTTTTCTATGGAGCCTAAAAAACCCACTCCAGTCCGGGCCCTCCCTGGTGGCGCAGCGGGTTAAAGCACAGCACTGAGAAGCTGAAGCCACTTCCGCATGAGTTCCATTCCCGCCTGCCCCGGAGGAGACCACATGGCATGGCAGACCTCTTCTGACCCGCCCGCTGCTCCCCTCAGCAGTGTACTTCGTCGATCTGCCTGTTCTGTTCCCCACTCTGTCTCTGGTGAAGCCTCTCACTGCCCCTGAGCCTCTGGCCTGTACCCCAGTTCTGTATGTACAAATAAATAAATCTTTAAAAAAAAAAAAAACCACTCCAGTCCATCTCCTGTGTCCATTAACAAGGTTTTGCAAGAGGAAAGGACAGTGTTAGTGGAGCATGTGCAGAAGACATAATGTCCCACTGTATTCACTCTACTCAGCTGACTGGTCAGCAGGGGACTGAACCCCTGACTTGAGTCTCATCAGTACAAGTGCTGACCCATTGGATGACTCACACAGGATTCAGTCTCTGAAGTCCTTCTGCTTAGTTAGGGGGAAACATCACACTATAGAACGTTGTGGGTCTTTAAAAGGGCGATGGAGTCTTCTGCTCAACTACTGCAGAAAAGAGCTTGCTGGTGCTTCAAAAAAGTCAAACATAGAGCCTCAAATTGTTGAAAGCAGGTGTTCTAACAGACGGGTCCATGGATGTTCAAAGAAGCATGATTTGTAATAGCCAGAAGGTAGAAATACCCCTCCCATGAATGGCCAAACAAATGATGGTATATCAATACAGTGGAATATTATTCAGCCATGAAAATGAATGAAGTACAAGTATGCTACAACATGGATAAACTTCAGAAACATGCTAAGTGAGTGGGACAGACATGGGAAGTCCCATGCCAAATGATTCCACTGAAGTGGACTATCCAGAACAGACAAGTTTATAGAGACAGAACCTAGATTCATGCATGCCAGGGGGGCAAGTGGAGGAGAAAAGGGGGAAAGCTGCTTGATGGGTTCTGGGTCTATTTGGGGTGATACAACGTTTTGCCCCTAGACAGAGGTGGTGACTGCATGGCCTGATGAATTTACTAAATATCATTAAATTGTGCACTTTAAAATGCGTGCTTCGATGGTGATGGCACACGGGTGATTTGGTGTTGGGAAGCCCACGGGGATGACAACTGAGATGGAAAAATGCACAAAAGGATGGAAAAGAAACTATTAAAAAATGCTTGCTTTATGTTATGTGAATTTCACCTCAATAAAAAAGCTGGCACATATGCAAATACCAAAAAGCAGCTCCCAGCAGCTCTAGCTTGTGTATGTGAGCGTATGTGCACACATGTACCTGTGCATGTGAGCTCACCCCTCTGTACCAGACTCATCACAAGGTGCAGTAATGTGCGTGTATGTGTCTCTTGCATTTCACTGGGAGGTTCTGGAGGAAGGTGATCAGTTCCATGTTTTCATGTGACATTCATCTTTGCGTCCTTGCCACTTAATCCATAGCAAGCTCTGAAAATAAATGCGTGTGAGCGTGTTTGCACAGTGCACTGACCGAGTGTTACTCATTCTCCTACTCATTGAGATTATTCCCACACACCAGAGTCTTAAAATCGAGTCAAAACAAAACAAAACATTGAACAGGGAGAAAAAAAAGCAAAGACAGATTCCTTGGGCCCATCCTGATGGCTCTCTGCCTTCTCTTCCCTGATGGTGATGCAACTATGGAGGTTTCAAGAGCCTCACTTTAGAAACTCCTGGGGTGCCTTCTAGGACTTTAAAGAATTTAATTTTTTGAGTTTTTTTTTTTAACAGAAAAAAAGGAGCTTTTGCCAGCTGTGTCTCCTTATGTTCACCCACATACAAAAGGACCAGATCTCAGGAAGTCTGAGATCAATTACCCTCTAGAATATATTCGATTTAAACCCAAAACATTGCCAGTCTGTTTTTCTGCACCCCCGCCCCAACTTCCACTGTCACACCTCCCTAGGTAACGAAACAGAATCAGTGTTCTTGCCTGCTCATCTCCTACTCTACTGCAAGCCCATCAGTCTATGTGGGGGAGCCAGGAGAGGGGTGAGAGGGGGCTGAGAGCATTTACAATCCTTTCTTGGTAGGCAAACTGGTGGGAGGAGCCTCTGGTGGCCTGGGCTCTCTCTCTGTGAATATGGAAGTCCAGTGCATGTCTCTCAATTCACCCCCATTTCACAACCCAGCAAGCTGATGTTTAAGATCCGTGTCAGGAAATGGGTTTGCTTTGCAGCAACCTACTATCTGTTGCTCACTGCCCCAGGGTGCCCAACCTCCCTGCTGGCTGGGGTGGTGCCCCCGCCCTCAGGCTGGCACCAGCCTGTGCCAGTATTTGCTGAGGGCCTGAGCTTTCTAAGCAGAACGAATGAACTATTCTTGCTTGGTGCCCAGGACAGCCTGCCTGGGCAACTTGGAGAATCTCCCAAACCAGCCCAGCTCAGAGAGAGGAAGTCAGGTCCTAACGAGCACCCAGGTAGAGAGCCAAGCAGATTGACGAAGTACAATGCTTAGGGGAGCAGCGGGGAGACAAGAGAGGTCTGCCGCACCATGTGGGTCAGCTCCCTGGCAGGGGATCGAACTCATGTTTCAGTGGTTGCCCATAGCTTCATAGTGCTGCACTTTAACCCATTGCATCACCAGGGGAACCCAGGAAGCTTGTCTGTCTGTCCTCACCCCGAAACTCCCCGTCCCGGAAGAGCCCCTGGACTCACCATGACTCTCACTGAACACTTGCTGAATAAAAGGCTAGAGAGGCAGTGACTGTTGTTCAAGTGACTTGGCTGCAGGGAGGCGTCTGGTCTGGAGCTTTGCTACTCTGACTGTTTTCAGCTGCAGGGTGCTCAGCATACCACGTCACTTTGGTATTTCTAAGCAAAGAAACAAGGTCATTCTTACACTGCTGAGGGAACAGTGGGCAGGTCAGGAGAAGTCTGCTGCAACATGTGGGTCACCTCCCTGGCCGGGGATTGAACTCATGCTGCAGTGGCTGCGGCTACTTTGGTAGTGCTGAGCTTTAACTGCTGTGCCACCAGGAGAGCCCTGTTTTGTTTATTTCTTTGCAAATTAGAAATCCCAGTTGAAAGACATGACTGGAGCATCCCTGTGAGTGTCACCAGGACGAAGGGCTCTGAGCGCCTGTCCCCTAGCTCCCAGCGCTCATTCCTCGTCTGGACTCCGCGTGGTTCAGAGGAATAGGGACTAGAATTTGGTGATTTCTCTCATGTGCAACAGGGAGTCCTGGCGAAGACGCCATCTGAGAGCCCAGGCAGGCTGCTCTGTTTCCGGGTCTTCTTTTTGCTTCCACTGTTGGTGCTTAATAGATGCTTCCCCAAGAGTTTGTGGGTGACTAAACAAACGTCTCTTCCCATCCCCCACAGCTTCAGCCGTGAAGATGCTGGTTTCTCACGAAAACCCTTCTCACTGTCTTCATCTCCCCCAGGAATTCTAGTCACATCTGAACTTTCCCCAGTATTTGCACAGCTCCTGTCCTCTTGCCTCGTGACTGCACCAACTGCGTAGTGTAGAGGGGTGACCTGGACCCTGCATTTGGCAGATAAAGCACTGAAGTTGGGGGAGGGGGAGACATCCTATGGCCACCAAACTGGACTAACATCCAAGAGGGGAGGCCCTAGCCAGAAGTTTCTTCCTCTTCTTAGCCCTGGTGCTCCATATGCATATGTATGCGTCAGAGGGTCAAGATGGGGGTCAGGACTTGGTATCCCCAAAGGGGCTCATTTTTTTTCTGTGACTCACTCAGGCACCTGGTTTCTGTCTGGTTCCGAGGCTGGAGGCATGCGGTCACATGTCCCCGGCCAGGTCCAGATGATACGTGGGGCAATGTGAGAAAGGGAAGCTCTGAAGGGCCCTCGGCCAGGGCCAGTGCCTGCAGCCCCCGATGCTTCTCTAGCTGGCAGGTGGCTGCCCACAGGAGGCAGGAGAAAGGCCCTCCGGCCTCCTGCATTCCGACTTGAAATGTCCCTTCCGGCAAACATGTCCCTTGCCAGACTGGCAAGGCACAGTGCTCCTCAAAGTGGAGATGAAGGCTCCTTGATAGGGCGTTCTCAGGAGACATCTGTTAGATGTGACCCTGCATCACCCTCCTGGCCGCCAAGAACCTCTGGGGTGGCGCCTGTGCATCTGCATTTATAGTGGCTGCACAGGATGCCTGGTGCCTGGTGGGGTCTGGCCAGGGGCAGGGGTTCAGAAAGCGCTGGCTCACTGCAAAATGCCAGGGCCTTCCAGCCTCTGGTGGCAGTGCACTCCCCCGCCCCCTCCCCCTGGATGCAGTCTGTAGGCCTGCTCCACACCCCCTCCCGGAGAGCCCCTGGGGACCACCATCCCCTGCCCCCCCTCCGCTCTTTCCCGCAAATGGATGCTCTGTTTATTCAAATTGTCACATGTGAATCGGCCAATCTCGAGCTGTATCTTTTGTACATTTAAACGGTTTACTTTGGCTGAGTGGGTTTTAACATGTGCTCTGGGGAAAAGGGGGAAGCTCGGCTCAGATGGGGCAACCAGGTCTCTGGGCTCTGTGTGAGAAAAGGAGGGAGATGGTGTCCCAGCAGGAGGGTGTGCAGACAGCGAACCCCCACTGCTAAGCACCACTCCCTTCCCAGCAAGAATGCCCATGGCCTTGAGTCACTCTCATGGCCTCAATCACAAAGCGCTTGGAGCGTCATGGGAAGAAGAGGCAGAAAGAGGGCAGTGAGTGGGGCTGGGGGAACAAGCCCGGCCTGCTAGTGGCTGTGTCTGGCAGGTGTGGGTGGCGCGTGCAGGTGACACGCAGTTCTACAGCTACACCGCACACACGCACACGTCTAGACCTGAGTAGACACATGCACGCATCTGTGTGCACACAGAATACGGTTGTTGGTGTAAGGACTTTCTCCTTCTGCCTCCCCAAGTTACCTCCCACCAAGAAGTTGGCAAGCTGGCCAGGCCCATCTCCTCCGTGTATGTATGTAACCAGCTCAACCCCTTCTGAGTATTTTTCATTTGCATAGCCCTTTCATAATCACATTATTCAGAAGCTCCCTCGGAT